ACGGGTAGAACCAGCCCAGTCAGTCAGATGCCGTGTGATGAGGACAAGATCACCTGTGCAAGAGTGTCAGATTAAAGAGACCAAGAGGCTTCTGGTTGCTGCATGAATTTTCAAGTCTCACTTTTGCAAGGCCTGTTTTTGTTTTATTTTGCTCATCTGTTGATCTGCAGGAGTGAACGCTACCTTGCAGGTCGAAAGCAAATGTTTAACTTGATGTCTGCAACAGCTGTGTGAATTGTTGATGACCTGCTGGTCACATTCACAAATCTGAACGTGATAAAAACTGCGAGGTGTAATTCCCTTTGTTCAGCCTCCACCAAAGGACTAAAGGCATCCATAAACCGAAAATCACAACCACTATTGGTGTTGACGTGTATCACTCCGGATCGGCTGGGTATGACGCAGAGATCTGAACGAGTGATTCCCTCTTGCAGCGAGAGCGAAACCTCCTTACATAACACTCTAGGAAGAATGTTTAAACATTATCGTGTGAGTCATCTCATCCCTCTGCAGCAATAGTTTTCTTCTGCCATCGGCTTCACTGTCCAACCCTGAATAAACATCAAGGTTGTGCGACCATTCACGCTGCCCCTGTGGGGGAGTTTTGCTCTGCCAGGCTGTTTGGGTTGTGGACCGGTTTTGAGTTTATGAATCAATGTTGGATTAACTTTAAAAATTACTTCAATTGGTGACACTCATATAACTCAATAATAAATAAACTCAATATATGTCAGTTTTTGAAGTTTGTTATTCCTGGATATAGTTCTGCAGAATTATAACTATGAAATGGTATATTGGCTTATGGACACTGAAAAAACTTAATGTTGGACCAACCATAAAAATGAGAATTAGTACTGAATAGATACATATATTTTTATCAAAAAAAGTTTGCAATTGTGTTAGTATAACTCGATCATTTGTTTGTCACTCATTGAGGTAAATTTAACAATACTGAGAAACAACTGGAAATTCTACACAGGTTGTAATAAACCTGCAGTTCACAGCTACTCCGACTTGTTTCAGGCATTTTAGACACGACATGATATGGATTGTTCCACAACCGAGAAAAAAGAAATGGACGATAGTTTTGGTTTACGGGTGTTGGCCGGCGAGAGGGCCAGTCAACAATGGCCCCTTCATGATAACAGAGTCACCACTGATTTCTCGCCCGATGGCTGTGAATAATATCATCAGCCCACCCCCGAGAAAAAAACTTCCAGGGTGACTCCTGAGTCGTGTGTGTGTGTGAGGTTCAGTGGGTGTAGGGTGTGACCGGAAGAGGAGTCAAAAGAAGGGGAACTCGCACATGTGGAAGTCAGGGCGGCGTCCACAAAAAAGCACCCAGTCGCATTTTCATTTGAGTGGTGTTTTTTGTGCCGTGGGTTTAAATAGGGGCCATCTCGCTCTCACCCCGCTTGTACTCTCTCTCTCTCTCTGCAGCGGTACACACAGCGCTCGTTCTCTGTCTCTCTCGCTCTGCCTCCTTCCCTCCCTCTCCTTCTGTGAGCTGGTTATTCATCCACTGTGTGAGTCAGGGGTGGGAGGGGCGGAGAGTTGGACGACTGCTGTACCAGTCACACTTTACTTTCTCGTTCCCTTGCTCTTGTCACTCTCTCTCTCCCCTGCTATGCTGCTGTGCTCCTTATATTTTTTTCTCTTTGCAGCTCCCTGTCCTCCCTGCCCGCCTGCACCTTTTTTTTAAATTGATTACCAAGAGGCGAAAAAAGGAGCCATATTTGTTTTTGGTGATTTAAGTGGTAAAAGTGTCAGCAAGGTAAGTTGCTCAAAGTTATGGTGAACTAACTTAAGCGTGGAGTTTGCTCACATGTTGAGCAGCTCGGGGTGTGTGGTTTTATTATTTCCTTCCTGTTATTTTCAGTTGGTGTTTGAGGTTTTTTATACAGTTTTCCTGATGGATTCCTAGTTCCTCTTCCCTGATTTTCTTCCATGTCAACTCCAGCTTGTTCATTATTAACTCTTGCCCTCGTGAGCTCCCTTTTTCCATCCCTGTGAATCATGGACATGGCTTTCATTAGAAATGTTCCCCCTCCCTTTCCTCTGTACTACGTCTCCTTGGTAGATGTAAACCAGCCACCTTGCACCTTGTTGTCAAGGTTGCCTAATACTGAATGGGGTGGTTGTTGATGGAACATGCAGGGGAATTAACTGTTTTTTTCTTCTTCTACTTGACTTTTTAGTTTGGTCACAAGAATAAGAGCGGTATAACCCAGGGCCGTAACTTTTTTGGGCTTCAGTGGTCATGTGTCTGCAGATAAATTGCATCACTCTGTCATGGGAATAGGTCAGGAAACACTTCTTTTTTTTTTTTTTAAACCTCCCCTTCCACATTATGAGGAAGTTCCTGTCGTCTTGTGGAATTACTGCTGATGTATCTGAACAAAGACCACTCAGCAGTTTTCAGCTGCCAGTCCAAACTCTGTGCTAATGTGCAAACCTTTTTCATTTGCCGATATGAGCAGAGGTCAGGTGTCTTTGAGTTCATTGATACTTGCAGATAACGGTACAGATGCGTCAGAGCAATGTGGTTCTTGTGAGATGGTTTTGTGGTTTCACTGAGCTTGAATGGAAGGGTGCTGCATTTTGGGTTTTCTTGGAACTTTTGTTTTTCTTCCATCTGGGTCTCTTTGTGTTTTCGTGATCATAAGACTATATTCCCCTGACTCACACAGTCAGTTGGTTATTATTGGTCAGTTAAAAAAAAACAACCTTGAGTCACATGTTCCTTCATAAACTAGGAAAAGTAGTTGACTTTATTCAAAATTCCAAACCCAATCCTACCTGTAGAATTTCTGAATTTAAACCTCACCAAAATCATTATTCTCTTGTATAAAAACTCACCCCCATCATCTGTATTCTTGAGTTAAAATTTCCACTGAAAGGAAATTATAAAAATCTATCCATCTCTACAGGATTCAAGGTCACGTTGCTCCAGTAACTCTAGCAGACTTTCCCCCTGACCAGAGTATGATCTAATCACTGTAATTGTTCAGCATTTTTCCTCAGAACAAGACTCTGCACCACTGACATGATGGTACTCTTGTTGCAATGTGAGGCGTCTGACCAAACGCCTCATCGTCGGTTCAAAAACAACCACAGATTTTTGTGTAAGAGTTATCTGAAATGTCAAAATGTGTCTTAAAACTGTCATTAACCACCAACACCAACACTGGAGGACTGAGGGGGAAGAAGTTGGTCAGTGGTGTCGAGTGCTGCTCTCAGATGTCGGTGTGTGGAATGTTGTACTAAGTCACCTGGAGGCTGAAACAAGGAGGAGATTGACCAGAGAGATGCAGTAGTGTTGACATAGGCCAGTGACTAACAATGAACAATCCACAGGGGTTATCTACAGGAGCAAGAGAAATGAAGAAGAAGTTTTCACTATGCTGGTCACAAACGGATTTGACCTCGACAATGAATAAACCTTATATTAAAGACACTGTTTCATTTAACTGTTATTTTGATGTCCCTCTTTTTGGATACTTTTTACTCACAAAAGGCACAACAGTTTGTGCAAAAAGGGCTGAATCTCGGTGTAAGAGACCGGTCACACAAATGTAACCGTGACGAACCTTCACCTCAATTTCACTACCAATCGGTGCAAGGAAGGAGGTGAATATAACAATCACTTCCTGTGGCAAAGCTAATCGGTGTTGCTTCTCGTGGAAATAAACTTTGGTTAATGTTTACCTGGGATATTTACTTTGCACATGGGCACATCTGAGACCGGGCCCTTTAATGTGTCATTTTGTAGTTTTTGTAATTTGTTTTTTGTTATTTTTGAAAGTGCACGAAAATGACACCTAGCAAATTACATTTCTTGTTCGACATCCTATGAAAACAAAACATTTTAAAACTGTTTCCAAAATTAGGTCGACATTTTCTTTTTAATGCGTTTTTTTCTTAGCTCCGCTCCCTGTCCACCATTCTTCCAAAACCTCACATAACTTACCGTTAATGATATTGGCTCAAGGAGGGCTGCACTTTAGTCCTCGCACTGTGAAAATTCGGAGCGTTGCAGATTGCACATCAAACAATAGCCCCCCCCCCCTCTGGGTCCAGCGTGTTGAAAGGAGACCGCGCCCGGCGTTGCACTTTACATTGTGTCTTCACTTTGCAGTTTACACTTGATATGATAAGCCCATTTGTCAACAGAGAACTTATGAAACCATAGCAACATTTCTGCATTCAAGGCTGTGTATTGTGGCACTTTACATTAGTGAAATGCTTCTCATTATATTGGATGTGCTGATGAGGTTTGAGTATGCAGTGGCTGTCTTCCAGTCCTGTGTGGTTTACTGCATCCTGGATATCTGTGTCAAGGTTCAGCAGTGTTGGAGTTTCAGGTTTTAGTGATCAACAACTTTTTTTGGGGGGGGTGTGTGTTTGAGGAGAGCAGTTTGGATGTTGTGTCCTGACTCGTGCACAAACCGCTTGTTAAGTGCCACCGCAGTGTGGGATGAGCGACGCCCTCCTCCCACCTCCCTGTGGCCCCTCCCTTCTGATATCAGACCATGTCTGACGAGCAGCTGGAGCCAGGGCAAAGCACCCTGGGATCTTAGTGGGAGTGTTTTTGTTTGACGAGGGATGAACTTCTTTTCCAATAATTGCATTTCAGTCTTGCTGAATTAGGAAATGTCAAAATGCTCCTCCTTGAAGACATGTATTGGTTATGGGTGATCACCAGCAAGACACAGACAAAGAATTGAAGACATGTGAATTTTATTGTTGGCATCAGTAATTCACTCTGTGTCCAGTGTGGCTGGAAATTGTGTCGAAAAAGTTTCACACAATCCATTTCCACAGAAAATGAAGGCTGGTAAAAGTTTCAGTTTCCAAACATACAACAAAATATGGGTTTCTTGAACTGATTGTGAAGTGAACTGAAGTGTTTGAATGGCTGTCATTGGACTGCTGGAAGGATTGCTGCTGTGCTCGGCTTTGACAAGAAGAGAAACTAACAATGGGCTTTTTTTTTGCAGATAATTGGGTCGTAACAAAACAAGCCGGTAACCATGCTTCAAGGGATCAAGGAGATTGGCTCACACGCCATGGATATCTATGACTACCTCCTGGCAGGATTTGGTAGGTGACTGATCCCTAGAAACACACATACTCTTATTTTATTAATTTTTTTATCGTTTTGTTTAGAATTTCATGTTGTTGTTGTTTTCCTCTTAAGATCCGCGGCTGAAGGAATACCCAATGATGCAGAATCCCATTTCCATGACTGCGACATTGCTGTGCTACCTGTTCTTCGTGCTTTACCTGGGACCTCGCCTCATGGCCAATCGCAAGCCCTTCCAGCTGAAGGAGGCCATGATAGTGTACAACTTCCTGCTAGTGGGGCTGTCGATATTCATCGTCTATGAGGTAAGACGCTGTCTGCAACACGGTGCTGCTGCTCTCTAAACTCTGGCTAAATGAGTGTGGTTTTGATGACCTTTTGTTTATAAGGATGTATTTAGAAATATTCTCCTTAGCTAATGACTGATAACGTCAATCCAGTGATTTGTCCCCAAGTAAAGGCAACTTACTTTTTCTTTAGTTCCTGATGTCCGGCTGGGCTACAACATACACTTGGAGGTGCGACCCAATTGATACCTCAAACAGTCCTGAAGCTCTTCGGGTTAGTCCCTCACTCACTTCTCAGTCACGCACGCTTAAATCATTGACCAAAATCTGCTGCACTTGTTCGTAAATAATGATTTCCTGTTAACTTGACTCTGCACTCCCTCTGTTAGATGGTTCGAGTGGCCTGGCTGTTCTGGTTCTCTAAGATCATTGAGCTCATGGACACAGTAAGTCCGTTTCCTCAACCCGACGCCTCCGTGTTTGATCGGCAGAGGTTGACTTCAGCTAATCAGTACCCTCTCTTTGTCAGATCTTCTTTGTGTTGAGGAAAAAGCATGGCCAGATCACATTCCTGCACATCTTCCACCACTCCTTCATGCCCTGGACATGGTGGTGGGGAATCTGCTACGCACCCGGTAAGTACACATTAACTGCATCTCGGCTTGTAGAAGATTTTAGAAACTGACAAACAGTCAGGTCCAGCAGTTACTTCCTCCTGTGTACGAGTCCTCCAGGACATAGACCTGTACGATCAGTCACAATGTTCCAGGCAGTGTAGGCTACCATGTCTGCATAAAACCTCTACGTTGTCTACATTCTTGTTTTTGGAGTTGGTCTAATATGTGTGTATGTTGTCATTATCACTCCAGGTGGAATGGGATCCTTCCACGCAATGGTGAATTCTACCGTCCACATCATCATGTATTTCTACTACGGCCTCGCAGCTGCTGGACCTCGCTTCCAGAAGTTTTTGTGGTGGAAGAAATACATGACAGCCATTCAGCTCGTATGTATATCCTGGTGCACAAATAACTCCATCTAAGTAAGTATGGCTGTAAGTGGCTGACTCCTGATTCTTTCCCAACAGATCCAGTTTGTGCTGGTGTCTCTCCACGCCACCCAGTATTACTTCATGAACAGCTGCGACTACCAGTTCCCCATGATCCTCCACCTCATTTGGATGTACGGAACCTTCTTCTTCGTGCTCTTCTCCAACTTCTGGGTGCAGGCGTACGTGAGGGGCAAGCGGCTGCCCAAACAGGACCTCAAGCAGAGTCAGAACGGCTCGGCCGTGCACACCAACGGCAAGTGCCACGAGAACGGCAACAGCATTAGCTACGGCGGCACCAGCAACGGCTCAACCCACCACGAGAACAGCAGCACTCACACGGGCAAGATGAAGAAGGCCTAAAAGATCTTGGGAAGAAAACTCCCAAGAAGTATGATCCACAAACCTGTTGTTGAAACTACCACACATTCCAAAGATAATGTCGGCGTTCTTTGCCTGTTTTTAGTTTTATATGCAAAACTTGGGCAAAAGACCGGGTCAATGATTTCCACAGTTGGGGTCCCACGTTATGGTTTGTTTAGTTTCTTTGAGTTAGTGAACCATCTTTGGGACACAATGTATGAAGAGAAGATGTTGTTAAGCTAAATGTTGTGTTCAACCTCCTTGTTCAGCGTCACAACCGGTTGCTTCTCACCCCACTCGCCTTCACTACTTATCTGACACCTCTGTGACCCCCCCCTCCCCCCTCCCCCCTGTGGACAGATGACTGTACAGTTTCTATCAAACTTGAACATACTTTTTGTAAATAGTTTTACAACAAAAAAAAAAACACGAACTAATTGTATTGGTATGCTTTAGACTTTCTAAATTTTGTTACCTTGTCTATTTAAAATAGAAATGCCAATAAATTTAATTTTAAATAATCTCGTTGTACAGAACTTTCACTGCTCGTGTAACTTTCTGGAAACATTCTCAGTTTGAGGACACTTGTGTTCCAGCAAAGAATACAAAACAAATGTGTATGTGTCGCTTTCTTGTGCTAATTGTCTTTGCTATCTCAAGTATGTGGAGGGAGTAGGAGGTGGAACAAGAGAGCCATTCTGCTTTGTTTGAAAAGATCCATCGGAAGAGGCAGAGAGAGAAAGTATCCTCAGACTGACAGATGCAGCGGGTTCATCTGGGAAAGAGCATGAGTCATATTTCAGTATTACTCTGTAAAACCAGCTGCTTATATTCATTCACTGTGGTTGTACTGTAATGTATATAAGCTAAATAAACCACTCATCCACAATGTAAAATAACTACTCTTGTCAAGTTACAGACTGAACCAGCAGCTGTTCTGTTGAATGTAAGCAGCTGTGTCACACCTGGAAATGAGCCTTCCTCAGAGAGCTGTGTGAAGCTGATACTGTGAACAGGAAATGCTTTCATTTAAAATTGCTTTTATCCAGTTGTAAATAAGTATTGGTGTCATTTTCAAAAGGAAAACCACGATTTAAAAAATTTCAAGAGAGTCGGCTTTTAAAATCTAAAAACACGTTCTTTTCTATCTTTAAACGTAATTAATGAGTAGAATACTGATCCAATCAGAGCAGACAGTTACCATTAGACTCGCCTGTGTTATTGTATTTAACAGAATATACAGTAGGCATAGTTAGTAATGTAGTTGACTGATGTATTAGGGAATATGATTCTATTAGTACTCTTACCTATAAGAATATTGAAAAGCAAGTATACTGATTTACTTTAGCTCAAGTAGAAAAGTCAATGTGGTGCTTTTACAACGACAAGTACTTCTACTTGTAATACTTAGTAATTATGTTTAAGTAGTATTAATTATGTAGTCCTAACTTTATGTTTATTTAAATGTTTGTTTTATTCAGAAGAAAAAAGTTCCTGGTTTACTTCTACATGAGTACATGTTTGTCTATCTATTTTTAATTAATAAAATATTCGAGTACTTGCTCCACCAAACAAGGATGTGCAATGTATTTGTGCAATAGTTCAAGGAGATATATCTGCATATATAGACGGTTACTAAAGTAAAAGTAATCCAGATTGTACTTGAGTAACTGTACTGCATGATGTGCAGAGTCCTGGATAAACAGGCAGTAGTAATCAAGTCATTGTTTTAAGTTTAATTCCAGGCTGACATAACATTTCATTAGCAGTCAGTTAAAACACATCCAGTAGGAAAACATTCTTCAGGCATTCATTCTGCATCAGGTTTCTACAGATCTACTACGAACAGTTTTTCAAGTCATTCTCTTTTTCTCTTTGCTTTAGGGTCGCAGGGCTGAATCCAGCTCCCACTTTAAAGGTTTTCTCCATATCTGGAAACTGTATTGAACGTTGTGACATGAGTGATATCAAGCTATGATAATGCTACTACAGTGCAAGTACTGAGCACCTTGATCTGATGGTCCATTGGAGGTTTCATCATGCGTACTAGGGATTGTCTGCTGCAGGGCAGAGTGAGATCAGAAAACCACGGACCACTTCTCTCTACTGTTGAGTGGGTGAGATGGATGCAGACCTTGGGTGTGGTCTGGTTCGCCCTTTTTGGAGGCTTTCAATCGCCCTGAAGCCAACAGCAGCGCTGATGAGACGTGCCCGCGACAGAGTCGTGGTCAGGGTTTAGTGGATGAAATTAGATATGTGCGGCCTAAGTAATGTTCTCAAGGATGTAAAAGATGAGCTCCATCACTATGGGCTCGTCTCCCCTCTTTCGCCCCCTGCTGTGTATGACAGGGATCATCACACTATCCAGGGCGTTAAGATACCGAGCAGGGAGTGGCTGCCCGTTGCTCCCGGCCACAAATCCAACCTGAAATTACAAAACAGACCACTAATCAGCTTCAATATGGTCACACCCAGGAGCCTGAGTTATAAACTTTACCCCTGTGCCTTATGAGTCTCACGTTATATTGCTTTGTCTGTCTGACCATGTATTTATTTTTAAACATAGATAAAGATGGGGTGTAAAGATACATTTAACCACAGTGGAGATACTGCAGCTTGACTATAGCTCTATTTCATGGTAACTGTGCATGTTTCACTTTGTTTTCACAGAAATCATATTCATCGTTCCACCCATTTATATACATACCTCCATACATTTTTATATTCATATTATATTGTATACTATTTTGAATTAATATAATTATATATTAAACATCTTTTTATAGTTGTACTATATACGTTATACTACCATAATACTATGGTAAATTTATAAAAATGTTTATGCATACATACGTATGTATTTAAGCATATATGTATGCAAAAATATAAATATATGTATATATATATATTTATAATACAGATACAGTATACATTTTTGTGCAATAATCCTGAGTCACTGTACTTTACTCAAGAACATTTCTATACAATATAATATATAATATTGCTGAAAGGTGTACATTAAGTCAGTTAATTCTGACAATCTGCAGCTATAACAAACTAATTTCAATAAAGTTTTATCTTATCTCGTCTTATAACAGATGTCCAAAAGTCAGATTTCTAATTTAACTAAATTCTGCAATTATGCAGTTACTATGTTTTGTAAAGTGACATCTGATGTTTACAAGGCTGATTTTGAACCTGATGTATCAGACATCTTTTCTGACCTCTTGAGGGTCAAACGTGACACGCAGCCCCAGTTTGGCCATGCCGTCCTCCTTCAGCAGCTTGAGGTGCGGACACAGTGCCAAGCAAAAGGCTCGGGCGATCCGCTCCGTCAGCCGGTTGTGTTCAGCAGAGTCACTCGCTCCTCCTTTGGGATCATCTCCCGTCTGCAGGAAGAACACCTGCAGCAACACATTCACACACATGTTGAGGGAGGAGACAGCTTGAGGTGTTTTGGTTTCTTCAACAGATCAACATATTTACTTCTGTCCAGCGGATGATTTTCCCATTTTCTTTGTACTCTGACTTCTGGAACATCTTTGTGCTGCTGATGGACTCCATGGATTTCCCATCGATGGGGCTTATGACTCTGAGGAAACAAACATTTAGACGACCAACAATTTGACACAGTGACAAGGAAGATGATGTTTGGATGTTTTTAAAGCCTCAGCTGGATCGATTTTTAAAGCAGCTGTTTGACTGCTCCCAGGACACAACATGATGCTAATTCGGAGTTATGGCACTACAAGGACTAATTTCATTCAACTGTGCAATACCGATTTGTTTTTGTAATCAACCCGTCACTGTAATTTAAAATGTTTAATGTGCAATCTAATTTACGCTCTATTTATCCTGTTTACACTACATATATATATATTTGCTTTCTTTTGCTTTTACTTGTCTTCCTATCATTTATATTGCAATTTTAGAATTCAGGATTTAATGAAACTTTCTTTAAGATTGCGAGACAGGGCATTTATCAAAATTGTCCTTGATTTCCCAGAAAAGAATACTTCAATCTTGATGACAAAAACATGTTTAGGGGAGTGACATTTATGAGAATTGCTTCAGATCCAGATTTGGTCCATAATTAATTTAAATGTGGCTCCCTAAGGAAATTGTTTACTAGTTTATTACTGATGCTTCTATTTTGCTATCCCCTATGAATACGGCAAATGTCCCTGCTGTGGGGCTAATAAAGGAATATTACACATTACATTGATATTTTCTAATCTTCATCTACTATTCTAATCCCTTTGAAGGTTTTCATGAGTCTGTGTTTGAATGTGGTCGTTGTGTTTTTCTATTCGTCCTGCAGCTGCCACATGAACTTCAGACAGGCGGACACACTCACCCTTTATTCACAGTGCACCTCTCCTCCACCCACTGTACACAAACAAGCTCCTGGCTGTCTGATTGGTCGAGCCGTCCGCAGGTGACAGTGTAGTCTTTCATCTCCCGTAGCGACCGACGCAGCTCTGCCATGGTTTCCACGGTGATCTGCACCATTAGCCCATCTGAGGAGAGGGGACAGCGATACAGGAGAAACACACATACAGACACCAACGGGGAGACACACACACGCACATACACTCATACATCAACAGATACACACGCCTAGACATACAATCTTTTAAAATGTAGACAGACACACACATAAAAACACCAGTTGGAAGGCAGGGGTGTTAACATGCACTACTTCAGACATGTAATCAGGTAAAAGTCAAGGTCAACCTGATGCCCCTCTGACTGAACATCCTACCTTCTACTATGCTGGACTTGGCCAGGTATCCTGCAGACGCTCTCAGAGCACTGCTGAAGATAAAGAAGCACGATCCAGTGACTGTAACAGAACAAATATTTATACACAGAGAAACACAAACTTTAGACCCAACTGGTTTTAGTCCACTTACAGTCAGTCTGTACAGTGAGAGGATGATACAGCATCATCTAGTGTTAAAAAAGGGAAGGTGCAACATTGACTAGATATGATTAACCACTGGAACCTTTAATTGCACAAATGTTTATCCAATATGCATCTACTCCAAAGATATGCGTGGACTTGTACAACTGAAAACGTATCAACATTTGATGCAATGCTGTTTTTCTTATATTCATATTGGTGTGTTTATTACTTTCTTTAAACTCCTCTCATATATATATGTGTTTATAAGATTTTCTCTGTTGTGAAAAATAAAGGGTATCACTAGATTCCATGTATACTGTACATACATCTTGATCTATATCTGCCTGTTTCAGTGCAGCTTAAATTCAGTAAAGTATTAAAATCCATAATTAGTTTGGCTGCACAATTACACCAACTGGCATTTATCTACAGTGCATAGACCACATTTTAGAATATTTCATATCTTGTGATTTACAATGCATTTCAATGGGTTTGCACAATGTTTGGATGCATATCATGCATTTTGTGCAGCAATGCTCTT